TCATTCATCGGAAGGAGATCTTGTGCCCACAAAACGAGGTAGACAAGTCAAAAAGGTAGATTATTACCGTCTACGCCATGGTAAAGCCGTACTCCCGTCCACTGATCCGAAAACCTGGGAAGAAGCCATAACCAGTCCCGAAGCAACTGAATAGAAAAGAGCAATGCTAATAGAGTTTCAATCTTTGAAAGAGACAGATGTAATTCAAATCATAAATGAAAACAAGTTACCGCAGGGTCGCAAACCGATGAAATGCAAATGGGTGTATAAAAAGAAATTTCTGGAGAACGGAAAAATCGACAAATGGAAAGCAATAGCTCACAGTGCGAACTGGATGTCAAAGCCGATTTCAATTGAATTATCGGCGGGCTTCAATATTTAGCAAACAACACTCGTCCGGACATCGCATTTTCTGTCAATCATCTTGCACGATTTCTGGCCAACCCATCTGTTGATCATCTTCAAGCAGCGCGTCGTATTTTGCGGTTTTTAGCAAAGGAACAAGATAAAGGAATCACCTTCACCAAAATAAATGGTAGACCAATCCTCGAGACATAATCTGATGCAGATTTCGCAGCGAATCCGTCTAATAGTCGATCAACATCAGGAACATTAATCAGGCTCGTATCTGGACCAATTTGTTGGAAGTCACACTTGCAAAAAGAAGTGGTACTATGGACCACTGAGGCAGAGTATCTTGCCGCAACGGAAACTTGTCGGCAACTACAATGGGTTAAATCGCTTTTTGAAGAACTGGGTTTGACCGACCAAATTGAAGGAGCTGAGTGCACACAACTGTACGTCGATAATCAATCAGCGATATCGCTGATCAAGAATCACGACAATTACAAGCGCTCAAAACATATCTCTCTTAGAAAATTCTATTGTAGAGAACAGCATAAGAGAGGTTAAATAAAGGTTTCGCTCGTCCCAACAGGAAACCAATTGTCGGATGCTTTGACCAAAGCTAAATCGCCTGTTGTAATACACTGATCCACTAATCAAATGACCCATGCATTTAATGTTCGTTATCGGCAGGGGGTCTGTTGTGATCCTAGTCTGCGCAAGGAAGCAAGGGCTTCACAGGCAAGACTCAGTGATGAAACAACATAACTTTAGTTATGCAAGCTCATATTGATGCATGACTAAAGTCATGTTATTTCATCACTGAGTCTTGCCTGTGAAGCCCTTGCTTCCTTGCGCAGACTAGGATCACAACAGCAACCAATTCGCACCTTCGTAGCCTCGAATCTTCGATAGTTTGTCTTCGTCGAAATCGACTCGACCTCCGCAGCTTAACAGCTTCGATAATCTACCAATAAGTAGATTCAATACGGCTGGCCTTTCTATCATAGTGAAAGATCGTCGAATTGAACCATCACCGCACATCCGGCGACCAGGAGTATGACTTGATACCTAGCTAAACTTCAAGCAACATGTACAAGATTGATCCGTAAAAGCTAACGGTCTAGTCCACTTTTTATGGCATTGAAATAGTGTAAAACGTGGTGTAGCTCCTGGACCTCTGATTCGTGCAGTACAGGCATGCGTTCTGAGTACGGCTCTATATGGAGCAGAAGCGTGGTGGCCGGGTCTTACTCAAATAACTACACTGAAAGATAAAGAAGTCGGCACCAGAGTAGGCTGGCATATATCTCTATTGGAAAAAACGATAATGAAAGCTATCCGAGTAGCTTTCACGAATCCGTAATCAGAATTTTAATACTAATATTAATTCGTGATAAGCTGAAGGGGTAGTTAATTAAAACCATCAATTTAAGAATAGCTTCTCCTATACCATTGGTCATATAAAAAGTCATGTAAGGATATACAAGAGAGTCATGAATAAAAGAACAATAACACAGCCATTGATGCAAAGATATTGGCAAGAATGGATTACGATCAATTCCGGCTGGCAAATGCTTCTACTATTGTATATAAAAGTTCAGCGTGAGAGAGATTTATTCCTCACGCAACGTCTTCTTTACTTACCCTTTACAATACATTTGTTTACCCATCTCTTCTTCGGGAAGACCATATATCCATTACCTAGTTCTTCATCAGCAAGACCCACGTGTAACATCTACTGCAACTAGTTGCCCATTCATCTCTTCATAAAGAAGACCTGTCATCCCTTTGAGTCATTTATTATCTTCACTTACCACCTAGATCTTGACTAGGCCATACAACGCACACAGTGAAACACTGTCAAACTCTCATCCTTGAGATTAGCACTCCAAGCGTGGCGTACCACTCCGAATAGCGCTCTTTAACGTGAAGCGGGAGTACCCCCGGTATCCATCATCCTCCAGCAAAAGACGCTGCGATCGGCAGCCCGCTTACGAAGAATGGATGTGTGGCTGTCACAGTTCGAATATAGAAAGCGAATGGGCATTTATATGATTGAAAGGTAAAGCTATAATTCATCTATGTAGAAGCAAACTACCTGCAAGTCTACTTTACTACTTATACACATCCAGAGGTATCTAATTCTAGCCTACGCTAACAGTGGCAATGAAACTGACTTAAGATTTGTTCTGACACACGAGTAACGCTTCCGATCCTCTTGGCACTATCCTTTACGTAGCCTCAGTGGCGATCTCGTATCAGTTTTAGTCTGCTGATAATCCTCGGAGTGATAGAGAATATAGGTTGCCTTTGATAGCCATCGAAGGCTACAGGACTTATCAGCTCACAAGCCATCACAGTGGCATCCTCTAGCCCTTCGGGCGGCTGAGGGCCCGAAAGATACTATCAGACGCTTAGGTCTTCGGTCTGGGCAAAGAAATCGCATATTCAGATAGCCAGAACCATACATGACACGCCTGCAAATGAGCGTGCGTCAAATTCCGATAGCCGAAGGCCCAGGAAAGCTCTACTTTCCACACAGCTCCCCAGCATCAACTCCATACAGTCGAGAAAAAGTAGCCAGATCAGAAAGCATAAAGGGATGGTTAACTTCCCTGTCAGCCGAGACAATCTGTGCCTCTTCTGACGGATCTTCGTCGGGCCCTAGACATTAAGCCTAGGGATATGTGGTACACCAAAGAGGCAAGCTAGCTAGAAGCAGCTCTGGTCCACTTCCCGATGCAGAGGCATTTGACGCGGAAGTTGTAGGCGCCATGAAATCCTTGGAGGCTACAATAGTGCTAGGAGAAGACTTACCAATTTACATTCTTCTGGACAAAGAAGCGGAAGCTCGGGCGCTCGAAAGCGGAAGATCTAGTTCCTCGCAGGCAGTGGTGGACAAGTTTTCGCTGCTGAGACAAAACAAGAGTGTAGAAATACGCTGGATACCTAGTAATGTTGGGATCAAAGGTGATGAAGAGGCAGATGAGCTGGCCAAATCGGCCTTGAGATCTCTCAACAAGTGGTCACTTACCACAGCTTTGCTCAGTGGGGAATCTTAAAATCTAACCTTTGCGGCAGTAGGGAGACTAGTTAAAATGCGGAGTCAAGAATTTATGGAAGAGTGGTGGCAGAAGTATCGACCGAAGCGACACAAAGACCTGAACCTCTACAAACGCTACAAACGGCCAGCGGAACTGACTCTACCGAGATGGGCACTACGCCGACCATCACTGGAATTTCAACCCCGAACATGAAGATCTGAGTGCATTTGCGGCCGAGAAAAAAGACCGAGGCATTTTTCAGAGTGCCGACCTGCCTTGCAACGTTGGAGAAGCTGTGAGAAAATGGCCCCACCTGGGGCCAGGGAAATGATGGGGGAGAAGGAATGGCAGAAGTTCATCCAATTCCTAACTACAAGCAAATGTTGTAGTCTGCCGAAGAATACACAGGGTGGGAGGTGACCAAGCTGAAATGGATTCTGGCTCGAGAGATATGGTTGGAAGAGAGGGATGCTACGCAGGGCACCATAACTCACATATTTACTGTAATTTTTTTCATTTCTCTTGTCGCTTCTGGCTTTATTGCCGGTTATGTAGGTAGCAATGAGCTCTTAGAGCCCGTCTATCTGTGATACGTCTTAGTAGATGTTAGGACTTTCCTGTAACGTAAAAGATTTTAATTCAGATTCAAATTCCTAGACTATGAAAAACTAGTTAAGGACCTACCTAAATAGCTCTTTAATTTCTAGTTTAATTTCTAATTTGCATATTACAAATATATGCCAGTTGGTCCTGAGAGTCAAACCCTAGTGATATGACGTTCTATCGCCCACAACAGGGCTCAGCTAATTATTCTCAGGCCCAACCTCTACTCAACGCTTCAAAGGACTTTTAGGTTAAGAAGGTGGCTGCCTCTGCCAATAGCTTTCAGTGTTTCCACGATCCAGTCTATCTCCATCTTTCTTGCGAACTTTATAATCCGAAGTGAACGTGATTAATCAGTCGCATCAAAGAGTGTCCTCGGTAATATCCAAGTACTATATCTTTTATTTCAGGATTTGCATACTTCATCTCCAAATACTTCTTCCTTCAAGGTAGTCTTTGCATATTCCGATAGACTGATAAGGAGTAGTTTCTTTAGCATGCGTTTGATGATATAAAGTACGTGATGACAGAGAATTTCGTAAGTCGTTATCTAGCCATATTGGCTACTGAAAGGGACTGGGTAGATGAATTTTTCGTGCGTTAAGGCAACACTGTATTACTTCAACAAGCACGAAACCATCATAGTTATCAGTCAGGTATTTTCTTAGTTTTGTTGTTAAAATATATGCAGTTTGAGTTTTTGGCCGAAAACTAATCATTACGACTTCTTCAATCCATTTCATTTGAGAGGAGTAACTCCAGTCCTCTCGAAGCAGGTTAATAAATATTGACCTATAGAATCATCGTACTCTCAAGTCTATAGAAGATACCACGTGCAGGTTTCATGAGCTTTCGTACAGCTATCAATTTACGTGCCATTCAGCGTGTAAGCAGGCCGGACCCGCGCACACGTGATATTTAGCGAAAAAAATTGAGTTGAAAGCCTGACACGCCGATAACGCGGTGAGTGTAGATTTGATCAATTCATGTCACCCTGATTTCGTCATGAACGTTACTCGCTCGGCTCATTCTATTACTTCTTCCCAAATTGTCAAAACCCTGCGACTACGAGCCCTATGTCGGAACCTTCAAACAACTCCCAAACCCTGCGCCGAGAGGAGGCGGCGCAGAATTACGAGCATCAAAGCTGAAGATATGGGCCTCATAGAGAAACAAAACAGATCTTTACCAGCCGAGGAGCTTTTTCCTACTTACGATGCAGATGATAAGGAGAATTTGAAAAAAATATATACAAAAGAGCAGTTAGCAGCAATCGAGGCGGGTGAAGCTGCGATAGATATTGAAGATTTAAAGACTCAGGGCAAAATCCGCTCAGATATGGGAAGGCTTCAATACTTTGACGATTTAAGTGTCAGTCGGGCTGCTTTGGATAGAAAGAAAGAATATGAAGGACCATATGATCCGGACCTCCGGGAAGCAAACATCCAAGAAAACGTAGCTGCCGTACTAGAAGCTGCAGAAAAAGTTTTATCAAAGGTTCCAGAAGGGTCTGGTGAAGAGCAGCCAAAAGTTGGACAGAATTACCTTCAATCTAGCAGTGATGAGTCGGACGAGAAGTTCAAGCCAATTATTAGTCGCATGAATGTATGGAAGATTCAGGATACCATGTCACTAGCGATGGGAAAAGATGGACCTATATCGCGCGACCATGGTCAAATGCAAGACTTCACAGCACCAGGTCTACCAAGAAAATTTTTGCCCAGGGAAAGAAAAGCTCAAAAAGAAGAGGAGAACGATGTCAGAGATCCTGATGGTGTCTACAACCGTTTAATTGCTCAGACCGGACTAACGCTCGACGAAATCCTAGCGTATAAAATTAAAGTCCTCGTCCAGCACAGGGTCTCAAACCAGACACGTCTAGGCAAGATTCCAGGCCAGTATGTATTGGCCATCGCAGGGAATGGCAATGGTACATTAGGGCTAGGTCAGGCAAAAGGAAGTGACGGTGGGCAAACTCTTAATCTGGCGAAAATTTCTGCTATAAAGAATATGCAACCGATTCCTCGATACGAAGACCGCACAATATTTGGTGAAGTAGATGCTAAAGTTTCTGCTGTTAAAGTCAAGCTTATGTCCAGACCACCAGGTAATGACAGTCAATTCCTCACCCAAAATGCGAACGGGAGCAGCTTTTTTGTTACATATGCTAACTTTCCACAGGATTTGGATTACGCTGCCAACATCTTATTTTCGAGATGGCCCGAGCGGCAGGTATTCAAGATTTAGCTGCTCGAGTACCACATGCCCGTAACAAAATGAATACATGCAAAGCGGTGTACAAAGCACTATTGAATCAACCTATCCCAGATGAGATTGCACGAGGCCGGGGGAAAAAGCTTGTGGACGTGAGGAAAGTTTATTACTGCGGGCAGGTGTAAAGTACGATTCAAAAAATGAAATGTCAAGAGTAAATAGCTGGACTTGTACGAATAATCTGTTTGAATGGTGACTTAGCGTTTGTCATGCAGGCGTAGGACTGCCACAATGCAGTTTTTGTGTGCTAAATATTGATGAGGCATATTGTATTTTTGTAAAATTTGTAACTCCTGCAATAAATAATGCTATTGCTTCCTGGTTTTCTTCTACTGTATGCTTTAGACCTGGTTCCTTCATTACCAAAGAAGTCTATCCTCATGATAAGTACGTTGGTCGATGATTTCGTTAATCATATCAGAAGCCTCATTTTCTTAACCAATGAAGCTTTAACCTAATCATCATGGCGTTTCGGCGTTATCAACGGCGTACATTTCTTGTTGTAAGACAATACTGTAGACGCTCGCCTTAAGTAGGGTATAAACGAGGCCTGACTTGCGCTCAAGCTGGCGCAGGCCATCCATTATCTCAGTCGTGGGACAGTTCGCAAGTTCATCCAGCTTACAGGCAAGCTAATAAGCCATGAGTCAGCAGCAAAATCCAGGTGAATGGTGAAGGGAAGAAAGGGCAAACTGAGGGTTTGGAAGTTAAGAGGTCAGACGGATGCACTAGATTGAGGGGGTAAGGTAGAAAGCGAGGAGCTGGTTCAACTACCGTTCTTAGGTTCTCATCTAGTCGTGCGTACTCATCAAGAACATCTTGTTCAAGGACAGTCAGCTGGGTGTTCCATGAGTGCGCTGTGGGCGTACTCGGATCGATCGACTCCATTGACAAATTTCTGGCGCAAATCTAACTAAACTCCTTGGGCAGAGAGGCTCACAATGTGTTTGGCAGATTTCTTAACCTCAGGCAGCTACCTGCGTAGGGAATGTCAAGCCAAGTCCGCATCCTCCCGTAAGACACAATTTTGTAACCGCCATAAGGATAAAGATTAAGCAAAATGATACTTCTTCCATCAAACTCATGATTACAGCAGCACCTAGACGATGAATATTTACCCTCTAAATATAATAGAATGAGCTAAACTCGTTGGATTGTGACTTTAACCATGTTGTGGACGACATTTTGCTTGAGATATTTGATTCCAGAGATAAAATGGGCGAGCCAAAGTGGAAAAAAAATATCTACACATGTGTGCAAGTGATTCGGAAGATAATAACTGAAAACCTACGCGCTGTGTCCTATACCAACCTGGCAGTGAAACATTCTTCCAGAGCCAAGTTCAGTCAAATCTCGTAAAACAAAAGAAATTGGCCTACGAGGCGATGATTCAAGATACTTACCAATTCAAATTTTCACTCCCAACGAGATCGACTCCTACCTAAGCCTTTTCAGATTTGCATGTGCGACCAACTATATCCTCATTTCCATGACCATGCTTCTCATCGACTTCCTCTGACCTCAGCTGGCCACTTAATGTACACCCACGACAATATGAATACCCGCAGGAACGCTAAAATCGTGGGGCACAAATTTAGGAGGCTGCTCCTTGGAGTGGGCGTGGGATAGATCAGAACAAGTTCACAAGATGATGCAAAAGATGGATATAATCTCGACGGGCGTAAAATACTGAATAATGGCAAGGAGTTTTTACGAAATGAGCCTTTTTCACGCCAAGATTTCGCTTGCGAGAGTGCAGCTGACACTTTAAACACAAGCCAACGATGGGAGGTGTCGTGGTCCGCCTCCTCGTGATGTCCTATGGTATAGTTTGAGTAGCCTGGGCACCTACTCCACTTGGGAAGGAGACACCTAAGACCACACTTCGCACGCAGAAAATTCAGTGGATGAATGAGGCATGTCTGGATAACTCAGGGTTCTTAAGACGTTTCCCTGGGTGGGTATTCACGGATGAGGGTTGACTTGGGGTGAAGAAAAAGCCGGCATAACTTTGCAGTGGTCCTTGCAAATGAAATCCGAGGCATGAGTGCTCCTCTTGTAAATTGAGTCATCTTTTCTGTACTTTTCTTTGATATTGTGTCATAGCTAGATAGCTGCAAACGCAATTAAAATCTGATGCAAAAAAAAAAGACTATGAAGCCGGCAAAGACGAATTCTTCACCTTCCAGTGGTGCCGCTGTAATCGCTCTGTATGCTCTGCATATCTGGGATAGCCAAGAAGAATCGCATCCTTCGCAACGGTAGCTTGCTAAGCGTGGCCCAGTCGATTTCGATTGACACATGGGCTAGGCTCCGTTCACGGCACGATAGATCAAAAGTTTAAGTTTGGGTCTCTGCTGTTCAGTCTTCTAACAACTTCCCGATTGTGTTTGACTGGGAGGACTTTACGACTCACCAACAACCCTCTAAAATCAAAGGTAAAACTTCTTTCGCTTTCAACCTTACTAACATTGTGTGCAGGACTGTGCAATTGCTCGGCCTCATTTTAGACAAGCACCTCGACCGCGACATCAACATTCTCAACTTTTCGACACATTCCAAAGACGGCCCGAACGAAGAAGCGTTACTCAGACCACGAACAATGTACGACAAAAGCAGGGGCACCGATGCCTCGGTTTTGAGCTCTCGATTTCGGAATTTCAGCCCTCTCAAATGGGGGTTGAGGGCAATGCAGGGGAGAATTTGGGAAGAACAATATGTGATTTTCAACAGGCTGTTGGCACAGTTGGTCGGGTGCTGGATGTGCTTTCTAGAAGTGGTAGGTTGGATTCCTACACGGCCTATTTAAGGGGGGACTACGGCTGCTCGTGAAAGAGTACAGGAGGAATTATTGAGGTTTTCCCTCAATACATGGTCTTAGGATCATGGTGAATGCGTTCTTACCTATTCGATCCGATGTAACTAGCGTGAGGCACGTATTTGGAAAAGTCCTGCACCGGATGGGCTTTGCTGGAGAATGGAGGAACCTGTATTCTAGTATCCTCCATGCGTGTTATGTCCATTGGATGGAGGTTGTAAGCCTGGCACGATAAATATAATCATCATCATCTATGAATATGAAGGTGTATAACAGTTGCGTGCTTGCATAATTAAAGGTTTTGAGAGGTCTCTTTGGTGGGCACTCACGGAGAAGGGTCGACTGTTTGTGTAATCAAGCATGCCTCATAATGGCACTTACAAATGAAATACACAGTATGAGTGCATATAACATCAAAAAATACCCGAAATATACACTCAGTACTAATCATGTGTCATCGTTAGTGATGTGTATAAAAACAAATGAGAAAAAGCCTCAGGCGGGTAAAGATGAATTCTTCACCCTCGAGTGTTCCCGTTGTTAACACTTAGTGTGCTCTACAAATCTAGTTCCAAGAAGAAGCCTACTCGAATCGGAATCGAAAACTAACGTGAGAACATGTGCAATCGGCGACTTCTCAATGATATCGGTCTTGTCTTTACCTGATAGTCCTCTAAATCTTACCACACACTATCTAGCCTTAAAGACCTACAATGTACTACCAGTAAGGCATATAGAATCTACCTCATCAATAACTGGCTATCTCTTACTATTAAATTACAATGTCAAGTTTACTCGCAAGTGGAATAGTCAGACATAATATACAAATCTTGGGCTTTGCCTTGTGGGAGGATAGTCAGCCGTAATATGGAATGAAAGAGGGAAGAGGTCACTATTGGGGATGCTGGGACAAAATTTCTCGACGTGATTCCGGCCAAAAGATGTATGTGGACGTCAAGGCCGAGGTTTCGGATAATTGGATAGCAGGACTTTTCCTATCAAAAATTCTACGGAACTCCCCAGTACCCAAGACGGCACAAAAGAAGTCGGGCTAGGCTATTTTAGATCTATTGCAATCCGTCAAGTTTTTCTAATTTGATCATGACCGTCGGGGGACTATTGGAATCTTAGGCCGCTATTAGATGAGCTATCAAGAGACTCCGCAAGCAGCTTGGTGTCACGAAATGAGATCGTGATCTGAAAGAAGTATACGGAGTATCTTCTGATTTCCTAGAGTAATGATAAGACAATAATAACTACAATACGGAACAAAAGCATCTATAAGAGAAAGATATTATACAGGTGTGTGGCAAAGCGGGCCCTGAGATCAACATTACATGTGAGACGCATACAATGAATGGGAGGAGTTTGTGCACTAGAATCTGTAACACTGGGTCCGCTTCTAATTACTGGTGAGAACTACTTTGTGTTTTAACCAATTTTAGTATTAAGTTTTGTTAGCTTCTGCTAATAGGATGGCGCTAGAGTACTTGAGAGGGATTATCTACAGCCTTGCAATATTTATCTCAGCCACTTCGAAATTCTAATTATTGTGGCAGAGAAGACGAGTCTAAACGACAGCAGGAAAAGGCGGGAAAGTTGCAATAGACCAAGAATGGGCGAAGTTCTGATCAACTCAAATGTGAATCCGACAGCCAGAGACCAGTAAAGTTCTATCACAACCGACAGCGAGAAAGGAGAAAATAAGCCTCCTGGAATTGCCAGTTTCTCTTCACTGAAACCTGACAAGGGCCCATAGTAGTCTAGCGAAACAAATACGAAATGAGCACATGAGGCTCAACTATTATTGACACAGAAGAAAAGCACCCGAAATCTACACTTCAAGCTATTCATGTGGCTACCAATCGCAGAATTCCAAGCATATGACTATATCCTACCCTCGATGGTCAAATGGAAGAGGAGAGATTTGGAGACAAACAAAAGATCAGTCCTACGAAGCTATGATAAATAGTCCTGGCGACTTTAAAAATATCACACAGTAGATCCTAAATCATGGCTTAATAGAGAAATTTCAGATGAAAGAGGCGATCGAAGTGCTGCTGAGGGAAAGGAACAGGTAAAGCTGTTCCTGGGTAGATATAAGTGATGTGATTGGTGTACATGGAGGGCACTATAGTTTAACTGCACTTCCGGAATGATACATGTAAAAGCCAAAGACAGTTAACAGAAAAGTTTGGGCAGCGTTCACTTTAAGGTTTCCTCCTATGTGAATACTAAAATTCATAGTCACCTACAAGGGCCTGTACGGAGACAAATCAGGATAATGAAATCAACTCCAGTTGTTATTGGCCAAAATTATCAGAGAAGGCCTTTCTTCTCCTTCTATCATCTCGTAGAAGCTGATTTCAGTCCATCCGGGAATCTAGTTCGAACTTCGGAGGAGGCTAGTAAGGCAGAGTGTGACGTTACTGGGATACAAACAAGCCTCCAGCGCTCGTACAGCCAGCGTCTTCGAATGCATCAGAAGGATCACTATGTCTGTTGGAACAGAAGTCACATGCACATTAATAAGCAGAATATGTATTAACCAATTGTAATAGTAGTGCTACTTACGTAATATTCCCTTGGCATTCTTACATGATACCAAAGGGCTAGAACAGATAAATAGAATGAATATATGTGGTTATTATTGTATCGTTTTATTGAATCTATTTATTGCCTTTTATTTACGCGCGTATACCGTATTGTACCAACAATGTCTTCGAATGTAGTCCTGATGCCTATATTCACAGTGAACCGCGCCCAGTCGTTTTTACAATTTGAGCCGGCTGCCATACACCTGCAAGTGAACGTCGCTTCGTGGGCCAGAGTGGGACAATGTTAAACTTGAGGCTGCCAAAGGTAGCGTTGGGAGGATCACTTACAAGTGCGAGTAATAACTAACAAGGTCGGCACGAGGGAAAGATATGAATTCGTAATTATAACTGTAGCTAGTACAGGAGATAAGGCCAATAGAAGGCGGTAAACAAAACGTGGTCTCCTACAACAGCCCTGTCCAATCTATATATCCATCATAGGAACCAGAGCAACTTAGGCCTCAAAGAGTACGCCTTCTAGTACTTCATAGAAACCAATGTAACCCAGTCACCATTCTCAGATGAGTAAATATTCGCAGTCCGCGCAGGTAATTGATATGTTACGGTTTGACCGTAGTTTGAGCTTAGGCGGATACCTAAGCTTAATACTGAGAATTCTTACGATAAGGCTGCATGAGGAGGAGTTAAAGCTGAACGAAACGGCGCTGTTAGTCAGGAGGCTGAAGCGTTACTACAACTAAGTGAGACCTGCAAAAACGTGGCTGGGTAGGAAGTGCTGTGCCCAAGGATAAGTCACTAGCCTGTAGATTCACGAGGAGGATCTACTCTTGTAAATACCTGTTGGTAGTAGCTAGAGTTCTCTTCTCATATAGTGTGCTAAATCGATTTATTCATTACCAACTCGTTTGCCGTCACGAATACGAGAGTGCTACTCTATTCTCAGTCTCCGAAAGGCAATACTGAAGGGCAAAGAGCTCCTCTAAGCGTGTAACCGAATGAAAGCTTGTGGGTATTGGAGGGTGGTGATGTATATGGTTGTATACACTTGGTATCTTCAATTAAATGGTTAAGACTACTCAGGGGGCTTAGAATATACTCGGGTGATTATGGCAATAAAATATTACGGGATACAAATGGTATCTTATTGTGTTATTATATTACGTTGTGTTACAGGTTATGTTCATGATAATTAGCCAATCCCACATACTTCCAGATAGCGCCGTAGCTAGTCTCTTTTAGGGGTGATCTACGGGTGAGTGTAGCGATCGGTGGTATCTAATTTATCACTAACCTGTTTCCATTTCCCTGGCTCTGCGTGCTACACTACGTGGATGACGATTTACTACTAATGTGAGAAGCGCATTCATGACAGTGGGAGGGGTCGTAAATTTTGAAGCGAGCTGAATGGGAAGCATAGGAGGGGATGTACTGCGGGCATAGGTATCCTTGGCTCATTGGCGGGGCATCTACATATTCTCCTGTCACTTCGCTTAGGTGAGGATATAATACATATAATCTAGATTCTCTATTCCGTCCAACGAAAGCTTCCAATACATATTGAGTCTTGGTAATCAAATCCATGATATTTATCCAAGGAGATACGCCAGTACTCCAATACTATAAATTACATAAATATCCACATGGATCAATTTTGACGATACTTTCATAGGCGTCGATGGAGATAGGAAAATAAGTCTAATTGAAAAAATCTACCCTTAATCTTCCCTAAGCATATCATAGCGAGACGTCCCTGAGGACGGTTATCGGGAAGACTCCAACACTTAGAGTCAGAGAGGCTGGAGTCATGAGTAAAACTGACTGTAGCCCTAGTTGAGTTTATCACAGTCTGTGACGAAACCAAGCTGGTTGTAGTGAACTTTTAGATTAAACTGTATGAAGAGAGAAGTAACATAACTATGGGTAATGACTATTTGTTTATCCTTCTAGCTCATATACCACGTACTCCGTTGGTGAGCATGACATATTGCCCCGCCACTGCCCGTCGTTATCTTTGCCGTCTAGCTTCACTCTCTCACCTGGAAGTTGTACTTCGCCGTTTCAACTTCCTACCCAGCTCCAATGTAATGTGGCCGAGTGAAACTTCGTCGCTTGATACAAGATAACATGTAAGACTCTCCAGCTTCTTAATCTTTTAATATCAGTCATATTCTTCGTACTTTATACTATCTTAGTTTACCAGACTACTTCGAATTGACTACTTGACTCATCTCTTTCAACGCCTCGCACCTCGCCGGTCTAATGTCTAACTTCCCATTACTAGTTTTTAAAATCACGGCCATTACTACAGTGCCTTGGGCGGGGGATTATCCTCAACACCTGTCAGTGGTATCCCCTACGAGCCTCCAGCTATCACCCTAGAGTCTGCAGAGCCGAGATTGAGTAACAAAGTCCTCACTTCGACGAGGATTCCCAATCGCTTTCGCGGTCTGTGTCATCTCCATATCTCAACACATTCCCCTATCACCATTATCACGGAGGAAAAGCCATCCGATGAGTTTCCGGAGCGTACCCAGCACCCGATACGGCGATGTTTGATTGGATCAAGTCGTTCTCGACTATTACAAACAAGAGAGATATAGATGAATATGCGCACCTCATGTGGTCCCGGTGTCTAGGCCTCGCCTGGCTGGAGCTGCACTTTCTTTTTGAGATCTTTTCCCGCGCACGCAGTCTCGATTGCTACCATTTATATATTTTGGGTGAAAGGTTCCGTGGAAAAGGTGGCAGGATTCCACGGGTAAACATTGTGCTGAATGGCTATCCTGTTAAGGTTATAAGTTAATTGGGAACATAGTTACTTGGAATGTGTCACGATGTTTGTTCAGATGGTTTGATACTTGGTAATTTGATTGCTGGCAGGTGTCCGATACTTTTCCAATAATGTACATGAGACAGAACATAGACTACTTATATACTCTAATATGACCCTTGTCATTGTCTACGCTCTCTCTCCTGACTTACTGCCAACAGCGTGCCTAGGTAAAACTCTGCAGCTCATGAGTCCATCTCTCATGAGAGGCATCCGCTGTTCCGGTGGCTGGCGCGCGCGGTCCGAGTACGCGTCGCTGCAATGCCTCAATCACTTACGTGTAATATCCCAGCTGAGCGATCCTGAACCTAGCTGTTCAGGAACGACAGCAATCTAGTCCATGGTTCGCGCCTGTGGCTTGTATACACACCACAGCGTCGCTCCAATCGTTCCCATACAACGTCTCAGCTCCGCAGTCCTTAGTCCATTACTCAGGAGCGCAAGCAGTTGTATAATTCCGATAGTGCGCTAGGTCTGCATGTACCTCAGAGCGCTATCCCGTAATTGCCCGGCGATACCTAACCGCTTATGGCTAGCGTGTGTGATCAATAGACTCATCACGACGCTCCCAAGTCCGAGACTCAGGAGCGGCAGCGGTTGTATCAATGGTCAACGCACGACGTGCGCATGCACCTGTCGGCGCAGAGCCGGTCATTGACGAGCGATATCACAACATATCCATCAAGGGCAATATATCAATGATCTTTCAAGTAACGTGAGAGGCAAGGAGCACTGTGCAAGGTGTAGCCTGGGTCAGAGAGGAGCCCAATATGCTAGATAGTCATAGACTCAAGTAGTACAATAAACACAAACATATACAGTACCTCAGGCTGACGGCGGCCTTCAGTATCACTAGCGCACGCCGTAACAAAGTAGGCCTCGAAATTCCAATTGGTTTCGAGTATCAAAATCTGTCGCTATACTATCGGTCTTGCCTATATTTGTGCCCACTGACAGCAAATACATATTCTCAACTTATCAATATTATCTAGCGTGAAGATTTTATTATTATTTATAAACTGTATAAACCAATATTTGCATTATTATTCTTACACAAAATGAGTATTTCATTAAATCCCTCATTCCCCATATCAGGCTGAGACTGTACAACTTCTAATGGTGCAATCCCATAGATTGAGAAGGAGAATATGTTCAACGCTGAAAAATTGTGACCGAAGGCCGTTAAATCAAGACAATTAAGCTCCATATATTTACCTGCAGGAATATAAAATGCTAACTAAATATATTGCAACCAGAGATTCTTCTAACTGAGATAACATAAACCCCGATTACATATATTGTTATTAGATTCATATGTAGCTTCGCTTTAATTTAAAATTTGCAACATCATGGATCTTGTATCTTTGCAACAATAAAGTTAGGTCGTGTCTATATGATTTTCCACTTTGACTTAGTAGTGCTCCGAAAAAGTGATTTCCAAATATTCTAAAACTTGATATTTTTAGCCACAGGATCTATCTCGGAACATTTGGCTTTTTCTTAAGATCTCTACATATAATTTCCAAGTCTAGGTTATTATGAATATTCCGCGAATAAGGCTTGATGCGATCTCTATATATATTTAGTTGTTATTCTTTGAAAGAGGCATGATATTGAATTTATGTAGCATACAAGACATTGCTGCAGTCATACAGGTCTTTCTGGGTTAGTTCTGACTCGAATAAACTCCTGATACTTTGGTTATCTTTGTAGAACAGGGAACTATTTTCATGATTAACTTTATCATGAAGTGCAGGCACCAAAATTGAGCTTTCCTTTGTCTGATTATAGACCCTCCCGCTCGACAAAATAAATTCATGCGGGTCATGATAATCCTTATAAAGTTGAAGATCTATCTAGTGATCAAACGTTCGAGTCTGCACATCAGCACTGTTGTTGGGAAATGATGGAAGCTCAAATTCTCCAATATCAATCTCACTTTGATGACAGTAAGATATTTGTGGGAAAGTATAGTTGGGAGTCTTAGTAACTGTACTGTTCTCTCCGCAGAATTTATCTCGCTCTAGCTCGGAAGGATTGGTGAAATCATGGACATTTAGGTTTCTAGTTGCGTCAAGAGGTTCATTGTGTAAAAAGAATGGCTGCTCAATAGTCTCTTGAGGTTGTTTTAATGATGAAACTATGTGACATAGATTACTTGAAGATAGGAGCGGAGAATTATTTGAGTTACAGTGTGTATCATTGTAGCTGCTGCTCGAAAAGTTCGTATCCAATGATTTAGCATGAATTGTGTTAGGCTCGGACTTGGAATCATGAATCCTGATTTGATTGTTCTTGAGTAATGATATATTACTATTGGTACACTCAGATAATGAAGTATCGAGCAGATTTGAGAAATTGGCCTTCTTTAACCTTGCCGCAGAATAATTAAATAATTTAGGCTTATCTATCGAATCTGAAAGCCTTATCTTCTGGGACGAAGGTTTGACCAGAGAAGATGGGATATTTGAAGGTATTATCTGAGTGTTGAAAAATGTTTGAGTTGCATTTGTCTCCATCGGATAACGAGGTAGGTTTTTATATATTGGGCAATCAAAACTGAAGTCTACATTACTGTTGCCAGCTACATGGGAGGTCTCAGGAGTACGCTTAGAAAGATATGAAGGCAACTCGTAATAAGTAGGATTCTGGTTTGCTTTCATGAGTAGCGAATATTTTCCCCGATAGTCACTAAGCTCAAGTGACACTTTTTCTAGATGTGCACGAAGAAGGCTATTCTCTTTGTTCGTTTCTTCAGACGCTTTCTCTAAATTTTCAACTTTGGCCTCAAGTTCCCTAAGGTGTTTCTCTTTGCGCTCACGAAATGCACGTTGCGCAGCACGGTTTTGGGCTTTTCGTTTCTATCCGGACTTATTAGCTACTGATAGAGCTGTCTGGGACACGAACTGAGGTTGGCTCAGAAATAATCGGCTTTCTTCCAAGTTTCTTTGAAATCTTTTCACGCCTTTGGGAGCCCCTCTCTTCTTTGACAGAGGGTCCACATTTATCATTTATATCGAAAAGAAAATCTGGAGATACTAGAGAAGATGGTTTATCAGTTTTTCTACTTCTTGTTCTAATATTGAAGCGTTGATTCTTTTTATCAGTGTCTTCGTCATTCGTCAAGTTTTGAGGCTTGTGAGCCAGGGTTGGTCGAGCTACGGAGCTTGGAGCCATATAGGCAAGGTTTTAATTGAGATTTAAGAGAAATCTTTGAGTGCATTGAGTATTGGACGGGAGGATAAAGTTCGATGGAATCTTGTAGGCATTAGATTCAGAAGAGCGAAAGGGGAGTAAACAGAATGATGGGCTAAAAGTAGTGCCCTGAATCTCATGTTGCATCGTCGAGTAGTGGCTGATGTAGTTAATGTGGCTTGGTTGCTCTGTGTAAATCATAAGAAAGCGGCAGCTACAGGCAAGAGAAGGGCAAATATTCACGCCGTATGAGCATGAAAGGAATAATTATAAATTGTGTCAGGAGAAAGTGCGACTTTTAGTTGTCCCCGCATTCCAGCCGGAGAAGGCAGCAGATAGGCGTGCATTCTCGAATTTCAAGCCAACGCAAAGCCTAGCGGACGCCTACCCAAACCAGCGCAAAAAGTTCTCAGCAGGGAATAGACACTAGATAACTAAAGCTGCCAATCCTCGTTACTCGTGGAGAATTTGGCGAATCCTTGGGAAAGCCCCTAATCTTTTTTTTAATTCATTAAGTGTATGCAGCCTAACTAGCTATAACACTATGCCCCTAATCAAGCCGGGGAGAAGGAGAAAGTTGTAGTGGAAAACTTACACCGACTTTAGTCTGAATTTATACAGCTATCACGACATGATCCCTCTACGCAGAGGCCTAAATTAATTTCAATGACTCATACTCAGCTGAAGGAACATCATGACGTCAGCTGTTCGCAAGAACTACTTTGCACCGCGTGAGTTGGATTGAGGCTATTAGAACGGTATTACTTTGACATCTGGTATCCTGGGAGGAAGACCAGAGAAAATTTATACAGTGTCCGTTTCAAGTCCAAGGTTATGGTTTCTGTTATAGCATAAAAGCATGAAGATTATATCGATGTTACTAATAAGGAGTATTTATATGATATCACTTGATTATCAGTAATTCCCCAATACACCCCTCCCCAAAAGCTGAATGCTTCAAGTCAATATTTATTTGATTACAAAATGTAGTATGCTTGATATACCGAAGGGCTTTTGTTTGACCATCAGACTTGCCGAGATCTATAGGTGTGTATTTGAGCCGGGTAATCTTATCTTTGATGGCTTCTTTGACTGTTTCTTCTCGCATGAGGAAATGACAATTTCTTGCAAGAATTATGGTTGAATTTGCTATAATCAAAGCTGGAATGTTGTCTATTCCAGTTGTGATTAGATGGTTAATGGGCCCGAATAGTTCTTGGCATGGAAGCTGTACCCATCGTGCTGCGATGGCAAGTTTCGTGAGAGCTGCATACTCTATCTCGTCGGTACTTTGGGCTGTTATTGTTTGTTTCTTAAACCACCAGGCAATGGAAGAATCACTAAATAGGATTAAGACGTTAGAAATACCTATGGATGATAAACTTTTCTCCCGGCTGCTGAACGAGGAGGCGGTGAGTTGAAAACTACCCTGATGCCGAAATAAGCATGCGGCTGATCTTGTTCGAGAAAAATAGCGTAATAAATGTTTAATGGAATTATTGCATTTTCCAATGGACTACATATGAGTTGAGCTAGATTGTTGACACCATGCGTGTGTATTTTTGTTTATTGTACTACTTGAGTCATAGAATATTTAGCACATTGGGCTCCTCTCTGGCCCAGGCCACACCTTATATAGTGCTCCTTGCCTCTTATGTTCCTTGAAAGATCATTGATATCTTACCCTTGATGAATAGCCATTCAGCTCAGTGTTTACCCGTGGAATCCTGCCACCTTTTCCACGGAACCTTTCACCCAAAATATATAAATGGTAGCAATCGAGACTGCGTGCGCGGGAAAAGATCTCAAAAAGAAAGTGCAGCTCCAGCCAGGCGAGGCCTAGACACCGGGACCACATGAGGTGCGCATATTCATCTATATCTCTCTTGTTTGTAATAGTCGAGGACGACTTGATCCAATCCACCATCTCCGTATCGGGTGCTGGGTACGCTCCGAAAACTCATCGGATGGCTTTTCCTCCGTGATAATGGTGATAGGGGAATGTGTTGAGATATGGAGATGATACAGACCGCGAAAGCGATTGGGAATCCTCGTCGAAGTGAGGACTTTGTTACTCAATCTCGGCTCTGCAGACTCTAGGGTGAGAGCTGGAGGTTCGTAGGGGACACCACTGACAGGTGTTGAGAATAGTCCCCCTGTTGACACCATATTGGATGTACGGACTTGTGATGTTAGTTGTATGTAGAAGGCCACCCACTGCCGACCGATACTTTGCTGCATCTTGTTCTGTGCATAGATTTTCTATATTAAGCTCGACAAAATTATCATCCGCAATAGTTGCATTTGTATCATTGCGGTGAAGCATTTTCATGTCTTCTCAAAGATATTCAATTTTATCTCGTTGATATATTCAGACATCATCTGATTCTCCGTCGATATTTATGCAAATAAATTTGTATATTTCGTCAATATCTTTGATTTTGAATGCATTTGCTAGTATTGCGACAGCTTCTTGAGCAGCTTTTGAATGAGATATGATCATAAAGCCATCAACGTATGTGGATATAATTATGTTCGAGCGACAAAAGACATTGGGATCAAATTTAAACGAGTGGTCTCCATGTTGTTGCAGGAAATTTCAGAATTTCTCTTGCCTTTATCTAGGTGCTATTTTAAGTCCGTAGATAGCTTAATGAAGTTTGTATACCAGATTCGAATTAGATTCTTTAAAGTGAGGCTACTCAATATATAGAGAGCGATCTAGGTCTGCATATAAAAAGGCAGCTATGATGTCAACGTGTCGGATGTAGAGGTTCTTACAAGCTGCAAGTGCAAGCAGCTTCCACATACTAGTATAAGGGAGAACATCGGCATAGGTATTATGAACGAATGGTTCTGAAAATCCTCTGGCACACCACCTTATTTTCAAAGTGCCATCCGAATTTCTTTCAAAGGCCATTTTCCGGTCATTTGCTGCTTATTTGCTTTAAAAAAGCTTTCTCAATTACGCGTCAATTACTTGGTTGGACGATTAAAGTTTGCGATATTAGAGGAAACAAATCTTCGCGAAATCGTATATCTTATCGAATAAAAGCTCTGCTAGTATCAGGCTTAAGAGCTTTACGTTCCCTGTGAGCGCTGAGCCAACATAGATGCACTCTTTGACTATGGGTTTCAATATATTTTGGTCGGGACTAAGCCAAAACGCTCAGTGTCCGAAAGAATGGAGGTCTTTAATGTTAGAATTTCGTTAAAAACTTTAAATTAAAAAGATTTTGTGGCTTATCAATTTGGAGTTAGTGTCATAATTTCAAAGGTAATTCTGATTGTAAGTGTAGTGCTCTCATTTTCTCAGCGACTATGCGAACATTTCCTTCGGCATTCCTAGTTTGTTCGTGAGTCTGTGAGGATGATTTTATCCAGTCAATACCACATGAATCAAGTATTTCTTGAAGTTTGGAGTTTGAGATTTAGTCCCGTTATCACTATGTATATATTTTGATGCCTTATTGTATTTTGTAAGGAGTTCAAGGAATTTTATACTGTTGATGTAACAGTTTTCTTGTAATAAATTGGCTATGACCATTTTTATGAGGTGTACTTATCAGACCAGTATCAGAGCCCGATGAAATTCATATTCCTGACTTAATGTTTCGTGATTCATGTAAATTCTATTCTTCTAACATGATCGTAATATTATTTTCAGAATAATATGCCAAGCTAGCACCTGACATAATTTTTGATCGCCTCAGGAAAACCTTGGCATTTTGGGTAATTTTCAGTTAAAAAATACTTGGCGTCTATGTAACAGACGTGGTGGACTGGTGAAAAATGATAATGAAAATTTATTCGTGACGGGCACAAGCTCTGCACTCAAAGAGCATGACACGGAGAAGACTAGCTTCTCCAATGACTATATACGACGATAACTCAGTTTGACATTTGGACTACTCATGTAGTGGGTGCATTCGCTGATACCACTCGAGACCTTGGTGCTAGGCACTTTCACCCTTCCCTCAACCGTTAATATCCACCAAAGGGGAAAATAGGAAAAACCTTTGGCTACCCTAACATGCCTTTGCCATCTTGTATATAGTCGCTGCGCGAGATATGGCCTCACTGTCCTCCCTTTCTCGAGTGAGGTAGGTATCCAGGCTACCCAGACTTTCATTCGGTGAGATGACGACCAGGAGGCGGACCAAAACACCTTCCATCGATTCCTGTTTTTAAAGTGTCGGTTGCACTATCCGAAATCGTTGCCTCAGCACCCACAGACACTCGTAAGTCGAAGACACTCGAAAAATGTGCGTCCCAGCATGCCAATTTGTGACCTCTTCACTCGTTCGTCCAACGTCCCAGCTGCCTGTCCTCTCTCAAGATGTGAAGCTCCATTACAGCAACGGTCCCCTATAGACCAAGACCCGAGCTTTGTAGGTTATGACTTGAATTCCTCCTCGCGGGTATACATAGCGTCGTAATTATATAGTGGGAGATGGCCGGTTTTTGATGAGGCAAATGCCCGATTGCAATTGCAGTAACGCCATTATCGGTATTTGAGGCGAGGTGGTGTGGTAGGATTGAGGTGTAGGACTCGCGTGAGAATGTTAGGTCGGAAAATAACGATGAGTCGTCAAATGGAGATGTGCTTGAGGTTGCTTTCGACTTCGATTCGGATGCGATTCTTCTTGGCTATCCCATATATGCAGGGCATACTGAGCGATTACGCCGGCACCGCTGGAAGGTGAAGAATTCGTCTTTGCCGGCCGTGGTGGACTGGTATTGAGTTAATTTAGGATAATATCTTGGCTACAACATTTTTGGATTGTGTCCTGTGACGTAAGGAAGCTATTTCTAGATATTATCATCATATATCAGGTAGTAGATATGTGTAGACATATAAGCTGAGAGATAGAGGAGGTAAGATAGACAGGCAGACAATTACATCTTTTTATTTTACTTCAATTGAAAGTTCCCGTGCGAACTATTCTTCCAGATACCACCTGTCTCAATCATTAAAGCTT